CATCGATATCATCGCAAACTGAGCAAACTGACTCGCCTACCTGCGGCAGCGTCTGCCGTCGTAGGGCTTGGTGTAACAATATCACACTCACAGTAGAGTTGAGCACTTCATCTGGAGGATCGGTACCTTGGTAAGCATTCCTCTTGAAAGGCATTGGGAGAAAAGGATATGCAGCACGGACTTCATAGCAGATGTCGTGGACTTTGTGAGAAGGCAGAGGAAGAGCTGGGGAACGTATACCTGAGAAATCGTCAGTATCTCAGTAGGTATTCGAGCCAAATGAAGAATGATGCACAATGTAGACTGATCCCATCCTCGAACTACGTGCAATGGTATCTGATTTAGAGAGTCCAGGATGCATGGATACGGCGACAATGCTGGACTTTTATGTCGTCGTTGACAACGTGGATGATGGAGGCGTCTGTCTTGGGTGCCTGACAGGAGTGCACCTAGGACACGCTGGAGTTGGCAGGTGAGAATTGATCATTTGACTCGGAAGGGTGTGCCAATCTGTAGTTCAGGATACTCAAGAGACTGTAGAGCACATGCATTCACTTCCGGGACCTGCGACAACCGTGGTTCTCATCTTCAAGACGCACAAGGGGATCTCAATGCTGTTGACAAGTTCCAGGACACATATCTCAAACCACTCAGGGTATTCGACACCGTTATCGGAGAGATCGCGAATGTATGGGCCATTTTCTCGATCAGAACCGAGCTAATCCAGTTCCACAGGTACATCCATATGCAAAGATGGCACTGGACGTGTTATCTTGTGCAGCCAAAGTATGTTTTCAGTTTCTCTCTCTCTCCCCACTGTACTCAACAATCATTTGTGCAGATTATTCTAGCTCAAGTGGATCGCGACAAAGCGGTACTTAAACTTCTTGAAAAGTTGTGCGAAGTTTATAACTTCATAACACATGACGAGATGCTCGGCAAGATCTCGTCGATGCGCGCTATCCTTGGAAAGATTTCTCAGCAGACCCGTGAATGTGCCCATTTTATCAAAAATTATTCTGAGACCAAGAACTTTTGTGAGTCTCAACAAGCTACTGCGCTCTGTACCATCTCAAGCTTCTATCATCATCACAGGGAGCAGACTTGGAAAGAACGTCGTCTCGGAAACAATAGATACGATCCGAAAGTACAATGATGTGTTCGATAGGCTCATGCAAAACTTCCGGGACCAAGTTGCTCACGACGTAGTCACACACGTCCATGACATAGCTATACACGTCCACCGCACGGGTAAGGGTTCGGACATCCTTGTGACCTTGACATATATTCATACCTTTTCAGAAGAAATATTGTACCTCAGCGGTATGATTTACGCAGAGGGCACGGGACTAGATACCAGAAAACAATGCCTTCAAGGGACCCGCACAGAAATCCTTTCCCAGATCACCGAATGGGTCAACAGCACTGGGGACAGCGTTCCACGCGTGCTGTGGCTATCTGGCCCTGCAGGCAAGGGAAAATCGGCCATCGCGCACACTATCGCTAAGTGGTTCGAAGACGTCGGAGGGCTTGGTTCGTGTTACTGTTTTGACCGCCAGCGAGAAGCAGATTGTCGCCATGAAAAGATCTTTTCCACGATTGCGCGCGACCTGGCTGACCGTGATCCAGAGATGAAGCGGGCATTAGCAGATGCAGTTAAGGCTGCGAGTTCGCTCAAGAAGACGGCGGATATCCTCCAGCAGTGGCAGAAACTTCTTGTCGAACCACTGGAGAAGTCGTCTGGGTCAACTGGGGAACCGATCGTGATCGTGATCGATGCACTGGACGAGAGCGGTGGAATAGAGACACGAAGAGACCTCCTCCGTATTCTAGCTGGCAAACATCAAAACCCCGCTGTTCCAAAAATCACAGACCTCCCACACAACTTCCGCTTCATCGTTACCTCTCGCCCGCTTGATGATATCAATAACGAGTTTCGCGATGTTCAACATATTCAACCGATGTCGATGGATGATATTCCAACAGCAATCGCAGAGCGCGACATCCATGCTTACGTATCCAAGGAGTTGGAAGGGTGGCGCTTTCGGGACGCAGAGTTTGCAGTCCTCGCTGAGAAAGCCGACGGACTTTTCGAGTGGGCGCGTCTCGCCTGCGGATACATCAAAGAGTCCGATATGGGGCTATCTCCAATCGAATGCTACAATTCTGTGGTGTCACGCGATGCTGCTGAGAGAAGCAGGCTGTTGCACGACATGTATCTCCTCATTTTAACGAATATCATGCCCAGGGATGCATCTACCCATATGCAGCATCCGCCGAAACTGCGTTCGACGAAGCTAGCGAGATTTCGCTCAGTGATGAGACAAATACTAGGCACAGCTGAACCCCTTCCTTTGGCTTCCCTGAATGCCATGAGGTGCCATTTTCCAACGCGGGAGGACAATTTCGACGTGGAGCTTGTGGTAAAAGGCATGGGCTCCCTTCTCAGCGGCACCACCAACCCAGATTCCCCAATCCGACCCCTTCATGCATCCTTCCGCGATTTCTTAACGGACGAATCATCCAGTGGAGAATTTTTCATCGACCTGTCAAAGACACAACGCGACCTTGCATTCGCATCACTCCGGGTAATGGAACACGGTCTTCGGTTCAATATCTGCGATTTAAAGTCGTCGTATCTACCTAATAGCGAAGATCGCGTCCAAAAATGCATCTCCCCACATCTGTCATATTCATCTCGATTTTGGACGTCGCATGTACGAACCACAATCTTTGACAAGGAGCTTGCGAAAGAAGTGAAATTGTTGTTCGACCATGAGCGGCTGTTTTTCTGGCTCGAGTTGCTCGTCCTGATCAATGCGCTCAGCGCTGCAGTTACTGGCCTTCCGCTCATTCCCCAGTGGCTGAAAGTGAGTACATTGCTATTGAGTACCAGATAAGACGCTCATGCCCGACTACAGGGCTATCCCGAATTCAAAGATGTCTCGTCGACTGCGATGGACGTACAGAGATTCATTCAGGTCTTCGGCGGCATGATTTTACACAGCACACCGCATCTATATGTATCAGCACTCCCATTCTTACTTGCCAACTCTCCGCTATCCAAAAAGCTTTCTGCACGGTTTCCGAATATTCTTCGCGTGGTATCTGGACGCGATATGAACTGGCCGGCTGTTCAAGCCGTGCTCAGGGGGCACACTGGTTCAGTTAACTCGGTCTCGTTCTCGCCGGACGGCACTCGCATCGTCACTGGTTCGATGGATAAGACTGTTCGGCTGTGGGATGCTGCAACGGGGCAACCAGTCGGTGAGCCCTTGCGGGGGCACACTGGGCCGGTTTACTCGGTCTCATTCTCGCCGGATGGCACTCGCATAGTCAGTGGTTCTCGGGATAAGACTGTTCGACTGTGGGATGCTGCGACGTGGCAGCTAGTTGGTAGGCCCATGCGGGGGCACACAAAGTCAGTTATCTCAGTGTCATTCTCGCCGGACGGCACTCGCATTGTCACTGCTTCGGACGATTCCACTGTTCGGCTGTGGGATGCTGCGACGGGGCAGCCAGTCAGTGAGCCCTTGCGGGGGCACGCTGGTTCAGTTTTGTCGGTCTCGTTCTCGCCAGACGGCACTCGCATCGTCACTGGTTCAAGGGATAACACAGTTCGGCTGTGGGATGCTGCGACGGGGCAACCAGTCGGTGAACCTTTGAGGGGGCACGTTGATTCAGTTTTCTCGGTCTCGTTCTCGCCGGACGGCACTCACATTGTCACTGGTTCTTGGGATGAGACTGTTCGGCTGTGGGATGCTGCAACGGGGCAGCCAGTCGGTGAGCCCTTGCAGGGGCACACTGAGCCAGTTTACTCGGTCTCGTTCTCGCCAGACGGCACTCGCATCGTCACTGGTTCATCGGATAACACAGTTCGGCTGTGGGATGCTGCAACTGGGAAGCCGGTCGGTGAGCCCTTGCGGGGGCACACTGGGTCAGTCAATTCGGTCTCGTTCTCGCCAGATGGTGCTCGCATCGTCACTGGTTCAAGGGATTTCACAGTTCGGCTGTGGGATGCTGCGACGGGGCAGCCAGTTGGTGAGCCCTTGCGGGGCCACACTGATTCAGTTTTCTCGGTCTCGTTCTCGCCGGACGGCACTCGCATCGTCACTGGTTCAAGGGATGAGACTGTCCGGCTGTGGGATGCAGTAACAGGGCAGCTAGTCTGTGAGCCCTTGCGGGGGCACACTGGTTCAGTTTTGTCGGTCTCGTTCTCGCCGGACGGCACTCGCATCGTCACTAGTTCGAGGGATAAAACTGTTCGACTGTGGGATGCTGCAACTGGGAAGCCGGTCGGTGAGCCCTTGCGGGGGCACACTGGGTCAGTTAATTCGGTCTCGTTCTCGCCAGATGGTACTCGCATCGTCACTGGTTCAAGGGATTTCACAGTTCGGCTGTGGGATGCTGAGACGGGGCAACCAGTCGGTGAACCTTTGAGGGGGCACATTCATTCAGTTGAGTCGGTCTCGTTCTCACCGGACGGCACTTGCATTGTCACCTGTTCGGGGGATAACACTGTTCGGTCGTGGGATGCTGCAAAGGGGCAGCCAGTCGGCGAGCCCTTACAAGGGCACACTGATTGGATCAACTCAGTCTCGTTCTCGCCAGACGGCACTCGCATCGTCACTGGTTCGTCGGATAACACAGTTCGGCTGTGGGATACTGCGATGAGGAAGACGGACGGTGAGCCCTTGCGGGGGCACACCAGTTGGGTTAACTCAGTCTCATTCTCGCCGGACGGCACTCGCATCGCCACTGGTTCTTCGGATAACACTATTTGGCTGTGGGATGCTGCCACTTTGCAGCCAGTTTGTGAGCCCTTGCGAGGGCACACTGATTCAGTTACCTCGGTCTCGTTCTCGCCGGACGGTACTCGCATCGTCACTGGTTCGGACGATAACACTGTTCGGCTGTGGGATGCAATGACGAAGCAGCCGTTGCAACAGTGCGCCATGTCACATCCTTCAGTATTCCTAGATGAACATTGCACAACCGAGGCCACCACTACGATGAAATCAAATACTGGGAACGACCACCTCATTTCCTTCTCATCCAGCTCTATCCACGCACTGTGCAACACTTCTGAGTTAACAGAGGGAGCATTCCATGACGACTGCAATTCCACCCCCTTTGCCCTGAATGATGACAGTGGTTGGGTGGCAGGGCCCAACCATCGGCTCTTATTCTGGGTACCACCCGCTTCTCGACACTTATTCTATAACCCAGAGACTGTATTAGTGATTCCCAGAGGAGGTCCTGAGCTTGATTTGAGACGCATGGCACATGGACGGCACTGGCACAACTGCCGAGAGTTGTGAGTCTCCCGAAGCTCTTTCCATTCCACGTACTTACTAAAATCAATATTTGCAGACCTTAGTGCTGCGATGATCATATTCTAGCAATCGATCCCTTGTGGAGATTTTTTTCGGGTAGTCACTTATTTTGATCCCTTCTTGCCTACGTTGCGCGCACTTCGATCCCCTACTTTACTTCGATCCCCACTTGACATTTACTCCCGGTTTGGTTGTTGCCCCCAACGAAAGCACTTGGATTAAGCTCTCAGTATTGACAACATTATCCTCATTGCCTTTTTTCTTGGAGGTATTTCGCGCGTGCCATGGAGATTTGTTTGACTTAGAAACGCTTAGAGAGTGCTGCACAATTACAAATGTTGTCAGTTCTTCTATCGACCTCACATCTTGAACTACGTGCATGCATGTCTTACGTCTGTGTCCACAATTGTAGTTGAGGTTGTGATCGCTCGACAAGTGCAATTTCACCTCCAAACTTTGGAACGCGTGTTGAGCAAAATATTTGATTGACATGCCCTGACCGAATTGGAGATCAACCCAACGCCTACTTCGACGTCCCCTGCAACTCCAAAGCCTTCTCCACGCCACTCCTCAACGTCTCGACATCTACCCCATCACCCTCAAGCGACCCCGCCACTTCTCAAACACCCTCGCGAATCCCTTAAAAATATCCGCTTCTC